GATTGTAGCGCTGTGAGAAAAGGTAGGGTGGCTCGCATTCAATTTTCACGTCACTTTTTTATTTATTTATTTATTTATTTATTTATTTTTACAGAACAGCAGTGATTTGCAGAGCTCAGCGCTGTAATCCAGGGATTTCACACAGCCTATCCTCAGAAAGTCAGACCTTTGGTGCTGACAGGGCAATAAGTGCATGGGCTTTGGATTGCATTGAGAGGTCCAATGCTGCCATCTTCAGGCAATAAGGTGAAGCATCATCATCACTGACGGCAATATTACTGTATATGGGTGATTGTAATTCTAGCACAGCGATCCTTTTCTTGGTGCATGTAACTGATATCGCTCTGAGGACTCTATACTTATACTGGTACAAATGAACAAGATAAGCAGAAGTGACTGTTCATGAAGATAAACGTTTCCTCTGCTGTAACATCCTCCAACGATTTCCCCCATCATAATGTTAATAATATTATTGGTAAATTGGTTCGCTGTTGAGCATTGGCTTTCAAACCAGCTGTATATTTTTTTCATGATGTCCAATTTCAATAGGTTGCACAAACATTTTACTGTTCACAGGTTTCTCCAAACCTTTTTTGAGTTTGAAGAGGTTCAGCCTAAAGCGCTCACATCAAATCAGATCTGCTCGTGAAGTCCCAGCTCTGGCCTTCTTCGGCCTTTTAGGATAAATGTTTAAAATAAATAAAAATATAATAAATAAAAAGAAATGTTTAACTTCTTAACTTCCACACATGCACATGGTGTTTGGGATATTGGAATATTGGAATTTGGAGTTCAATTACCATGCCCATATATATAATTTTCACCAAGCATGTGGTTAAAAAATCTAAACGTACTACTTGGGGCATTGGTGACCTGGTGGAAAAAAGTGATACCACAAAAGTTATATCTTAGTAAACGTTATATATTAGTAAAGAATTAGCATTGAGCTTGCAGCCAACTACTGAAGTTATATGACACAAGATATCCCCTCTAATGTCTTAAAGTATAGTATCAATCTCAATTTGAAGACAGAAAGATCGATTGTGGATTTGGAGTGTCAAACTATATATATATTCTCCTCTCACCCGCCACTGCAGGCAGTTTTTCTCTTTCAAGCTCGGGTCCTCTACCAGAGGCCTGGGAGCTTGAGGGTCCTGCGCGGTAACTTTGCTATTCCTAGGACTGCGCTCTTCTGGACAGAGATCTCTGATGTTGTTCCTTTTTTGCCTTTTTAACTGTTTTCATTTGTTTTGTCCTCACAAGAAATAAATGAAAACAACAAGCTCATTATTTGGTCCTCTCTGTGTTTCACTTTATCTAGCTGTCCTTTCTTTACATTTTGTTCAGCTTTGGAGAGCTTGTTGGCTGTGGATTCAAGCTAAGGCTCAATTCATTGGGAAGCTACCACTCATGCAATATTTGTTTTATAATTCTTTGAAAGCTTGTAATGCATAATTAACCCAGAGTAAGGCATTTTCACATAAGGCTTTTTAGTTTTTAATGTAATATATTTACTTACAAATTTGTAGCTTCACATTTATGTTATTGCAAATTCACTTAAAGTAAAGACTCTGAATACCTCTTGAAAAAAAGGGAGCTCTTTTTATTATTTAGATTCTCTCTTTTTTTCTGGACCTGATCTATTTGCTGTTGAAAGGACCGACTTTGCACAACATAATCAATAAAAGAGGTCTTATTTTAAGATTTCAAGGTGTATTCACCCTATCGACAACCTCCCTCTCTCCACCAGTCAGTATCATCTCTCAGCAGACTGATACCAATCAGTAACACAACACTGCAGGGAAAATGAAATGCAGTGCTGCAGTCAGCTTTGCATCGCCTGCTTTTGGTCTGGGCCTCAGACCAAACACTGCTGCTGACTCCCTCCAGAGTCTATCCTCTATCTGCTGCTGAATTCCAGATAATGCTGATTTCTGTTTTTCAAGCGGCATGTAGGAAGAGCTGAAACTGCAAATGAACAAATGAACACAAGGAGACTGGATTTATTCCTGGAGGTGGAAACAGTATTATTCTTTGAGTTAAACATCTGTGGATGTATCAGCAAGCTGCAGTTTTCATCCAAACATGGAAATGTAATTATATTGGCAGGCTTTTATGGCAATAGTTTTGCTGTCAGTAGAAGCAAAGACAACAAGCTTGCTGATTTGATCTTGAAAGGTCAGCTTCCTGATTTTTTTTCTTGCGATACTAGTCACTATGCTCTAGGGATCGACTGATTTTATGCACATACACATGCTCACCAGTTCCTATTTCCATATCTTCTTGAGTTGCGTTTTATGTTTAACCCAAGCAGAATGCATGCTATCATAAGTATAATAAACACGATACTAGTTACACATCAGCATACATAGTAACTGTGCACATGCTAGAACTGGCATTTAGCTTAAAGCACAGCTGAAAAAATAGAAACACACAATCATTCGAGGCAGTATAGATGTAAATGTGCTGAATATTTCCATTGCATTGTTCCAACGTTGTAGAAGAAAAACAAACCGCTTTCTTGGCTTGGTGAAATTGTTCTCAAGGACACACTCTGCGCCACCTAGAAAATTTACTGCAGCAAACTTGCAAGCAATCATTATTTTCTATAATTAGAGGTAAATGCATAGGCATAATAGGGGAAAACAAGCATACATGGAGGCCATGCATGACAAATAACCACATTAGTAATTTGATACAAATTAAATCAATAGATCCCAGCAGTACTGTGTGATTTACAACAGAAGGGGCTAAACAGCGAGGTGATCAAGAGGTGAACAAATCCTATGATTTGTTGTGCAATACGTCTGCATTACAGGCATCTGCTAAGCTGAGGAGGCATTGAGCGCAATGCAAATCTCATGGTAATGGTATTGTTAAAGCAGCCACTGTGTAACCACATCACTGGCAGGGGCACAGCCTCTGCCATTGCAAACAGTGCATTAAAAATTCACTGTAGTGGATGATCAGAGAGGCTGAGAGAGACACAGGGAGAGAGATGTAACCTGCATTGCCTCCTTGCAGCGGCTGAGTGGTTTTACTGTAAGATTGATCTAACCGATCACCTCATTTCCTCTCTCATCCACCATAGCAGCCAAAGCACTGATAGTTTATCCGTCTGAGAAAGTGATTTTAAGGTGCCAAGTACAACACAGGAAATGGCCCTGCAGACGTTCTTGTATCTGGTTATGGCAAGCCTTATTGCCGGCTGTGGGATGAGGCAGCTAAAGAGGCATCACTGAGGTTTGCCAGCGAGGGAGTGACAGAGCAATTCTGAGGACTGTTTCAGTGTCAGCCATGCAGAACACGGCTGACCAGAGACGTAAATCGATTTGACATGGAGCAGTAGTTGTGGTATTTTCTTGTAAGAATAGGGTTTTGTTCAGTCTTACTACACAGCATAGGAAACTGCTGAACCGCTGAGGCTTACAAAATGGTATGGCACAAGCGAAAGAAAGACAAGACAGTACTGAGTAGGAGGGACCATATGGTAATAAAGTTAGCTGAAGAAAAAAACACACACAGGCAGCATAAAAGTATTTTTCAAAAGCTTTGATGTCATCTAAAAGTGAAACCGCGGGAAGGGGCTTGGATGAGCCTGAACAAGGATGTTCTTGGAGTCTAAATGTAAAACAGCCCAGCTAAGTGCATCCATAGCAGTGAGCTTTGCGGACAATGAGCTTTCCAAAAACTCCAATATGCATATTGACTAAAAATATCCTGTCTTAGTACGGTGGTGGAGGGAAGAACCAAGAATGAAGTCATATCCCCAAAGAGTTTGGCTTTAGCTTTCTCCTCCAAAGCAATCAATCAGAATGGAAACTTTTTTTGTGGGCCTCACTCTCCACTGATAGACAGAGAGCAGACACAGGATAGCCATGAATGTACACTATCTAATATGTATGACCAATGAGAGCCAGTTGTTTCTGTTTTTTTGTTAAAAGACACAGGAACCACAAAAATTTACACAGCCAACAATTGAAGAAGAATTAAACGTTTTAGGAATTAGCAGTTTGATCACAAAGTTCTGTGACTTTGCCCATAAAAATCCCAAATCATATCCAATTTAAAGTTGGCTAATCTCCCCTTGTCCTTGTGGCCCTCTGGTCCGCTTCCAGTGCGGTGGGTGTGTTCTGATTGCTCAAACTTGCACACAAAACTGACCTCTCGTGCACGTTCTGTGTGGAGAATCTGATGTGTGGAGAGGCCAAAGAGCAGTCTTCAATGGAAAAGTCTCCAATACTGGAAGCTAGAGAAGGGGCATCGAGGCAGCGGGTGCATGCTTGTCATTTCGTTGACATTTATGATGTTTTATGGTGTTGTGCAGCATGAATTTGACCCTGCAGTTCAGACTGGTAAAATGTATTTCCACTATGACATCCTAATACATCTAAAGGAGAACATTTGATGATGGACAGACATAACCGAAAGTCTTGGCCCAGATATCTGCTGGCTACATCCCCCAAAACTTAGCCATTATCTCTAGAGGCTCAGTCAGCAGACTAGCTGGTGGGTTCTCAGATTTCCTGCCCTGAATGCAGGACTTTAAGATAAAAATACATCTTCCCCCTCTTTTAAAAAAACTGAGGCATTAATCATAAAACTGACATGTGCTTTGAAGTTACTATTGTGAATTGACGCTATGTGTACATATATTCATTTACAGAGATACAGAATATCACACACACACACACACACACACACACACACACACACACACACATACACACACACACACACAGATAATACTCAAGTATACACACACACACAGCACACACACGATATATTATATATATATATATATATATATATATAATATATTATATATATATATATCTATATATATATATATAATATATATATTATATATATATAATATGTATCTATATTAATATATATTATATATTATATATATATTATAATATATATATAATATAGCTTTCTCATCCACTGCCTGCATTTAAAACCTCTGTAGACCATCTTTGGACTCTGTGTCCACAGAAACAGTTTGAAATGAAATTTTCAGGTCAGCAACTCTTTAATCTAGAAAAGGTGACACGTAACACCTATGCCAACTCATATAAATACACCCATACTCACACACATACGTGTAGTCTTAGCAATGACAGGATGGGGAGTGTAATATCACCTTTGGGAAATTAGCTGATGGCAGCAGTTTGACTGCACCTCAGCCTTACCCGAAAGGATCGACTTACGGAGAAGTCAACCAAATATCAATAAGGGTGATTTAGCTGTGCACTGCTGAAGGATAAAGAGCTTATGCATGAAACCTCTGGAAATACACTTGAGCTTGGCGTGTAAAATGCTGTCGCTTCAAGCAAATCCCCTGATTAAATCCCCCGAACACATTTAGTTGGCTGTATGAGGGGAAGCCCGGTGTTGGCTGTGAGGAGGAGGACAGAAAGAAGAATGGGAGATACAGAGGAAAAATGGGAGCAGGAAAAGAATAGTATGTGAAAACCTACAGCATAATGCATTATATACCACACATGATGCTCTTTGATGTGAGTTTGATGTGTGCCCCCCTCTGGGATTTATGGCCTTCTGTGTGTTACAAGAGTGACATTGTCACAGATGTTGCAACATTTGTAAATTAAAGGCAGTGCAGTGTTATATTTCTGGATTTTGATCCAATTGCTCAATAGTATCATTCAGAATTTTTGGCAGTGGCTCCGTTGGTGTTGACCTATCAGTGATGAACAGGTTTAATTTTATGAAGAATTGCTGGGGAGTGTGAAAGAAAGAGGAAGTGTGGGAAGAAATGAGAATCTAGCAACCCAACTTGGATGTTGCACTTCACCTCCTCAGCCAACGAGACCAGGAAAGCCCTCTCATTGAAATATGATTAAGATTTACAGCTCCTATGAAGAGAACAGGACAATTTGCCTTATTTGGATCATTAATTTTTATTACCTTTCCTGGAAATGTCTGCATTTAGTGTTTTATTGCAATTTTGAAATATAATGGTTGCTCTTCAGGGATGTACACACAGGAAATTAAATGCTCTAATAACAAAAACTTGCATTAGTCCATTGTTGACAAAATCCGGGCTCATACATAAATGTCAGGCCATTTTTCCATCATCTCCCATCTTCCATCAACTGAATGTCATTCAGAATGCATGTATATGCTCTGACAGTATATAGAAGCAATACAAACAAACAAAAGCACAGCAACAGCCCCGAGCTGTTTACCATCGACTAATAAGCCTCCGCATCTCATTAATAGAGGCTGACTCATGTCGTTTTGAATGTAAGCCTTGAAATAGGGTCACACAGCCCGAGAAAAGAAAGGACTAAGGTAACAGTAAGAGTCACTTGAACTCGTCTTGCAGAATGCAACATTTGGCTGTTCATAAGAATATATGCAAATAAGAATTAGCGCTTCATGCATGATTTATGAGCCTTAAGTGCAAAAAATGACTTTTTTTTAAAGACAATTGTGTGAGATTTTTAATAGGTTTTTTTTCAGCCTGCATTAAAAACCATCAAGGAGAAACATAAGGTTCTTTTAACTCAGACTAAGCCTAGACCAAAGTGAATTCCTCCTCAACCAAGAGACAGAAGCAGGTCTTCACCTTGTCAGGTCACTAGAGCATTAACATTTTTAGCAAGTCTGCACAGGATAAACCTCTTTTCCTAAGCTCTATGTGCTCACCTGCATTTCTTTTCTCTCTCTCTTTTTTTACTCAGCAAATCAGTGTGATAACATCAAACATAACCTTTTAAAAAAGAGTGAGACATCACTTAAGAGAGGTAATTAGCTCTTTGAAGTAGTGACAGCTTTCCATTTGGGAAATAGGGCAGCGCTTTCATCTGTGATTAGCTGTTCTTAAGTCCATCCTCAGGTAGCAGAAGATGGAAAGAGACTGGTAAGCACAGGCTTGCTCAACCTTGAAACGTAACAGGCACTTGGGTTGTGGTCTTTTGGGACCCCTCCCGCAGGCGTGTAAGTCTAAAATATGCTGAAGGTCTGCAGGGGGAGGGGAAATCTGCTGTGGCAGCGAGAAGGTGAGGCAAGAAGCTGAGAAAGAGGAGCAGGGCAGATCAACAGAGAGCAGAGGAAGGTGCAGAGTGGATGTGATGGCTGTCAACTGCAGTCAAATTTGTCATAACTATCAAATCAATGTGCAGCTTTGGCTTAGATGCATGAAGCCAGCCTTACTGGCTTACCTCAGCACTGCACCAGAGAGGGACTGTCACTGGATATTACCATGTGGACTGCTGAGCCTATTCGCCCATGTGACAGTAAACAGGGACAACGATACATCCCATCTTACTCCCACTTTCCTGCTCTGGGGACACAAGCATCCCCCTACTTCCTGAAATGTGCCTATGTGCAATTTTGGTGTTTGCATTAAATATGAATAACCTTAGTAATAAATGGAAGCTCTCAGGGATTGTATCTTGAGCCAAAAAAAATAAATAAATACAATGTTTGTGGCACAAAGCTCTTAATGCTCTCCCTGCACTTTTTTTCTAATAGTTTAGTCATAAAAAGATCATTTGGGAATAATTTAATTCCAAATAATAGATTTCTGGTAATAACTGCTTTGGATGCTTTTCTTGTTCACTCTTTTTGCCACGTGGAAATGTAACTGGAGGCTTGATCTGTTGCTACACTATTAGATAAAAATGTTGCAAACTTACAGTTTGAAATTATAAGTACAGAATATGTTAGAGAATGACAGTGTGAATGGTATTATATCCCAGTTAATCACAATTCTTTTATATGCAGAGCAGCAGCTTAGGTAATAGTTTCCTCCACTTCATCTTCTAAGGAATACTGCCCGGATGAGTGGCTGGGACTGGATCTAGTTTTCAGGTTGATCGAGCCGTACAGTTTGGCCGAACGCTTGGAATAAGCGATGACCTTTCTTCTATACATCTCTCCCTTCCACATGGAGATCATCAGCAGCGTGGAGAGCACCACGCCGCCCAGCGTGAGCAAGCAGAGTCCCGCGATGACGCAGCGATCCAGGTGGGCACCTATCCGGGCGCTTTCCATCTCCAGCTTCTCCATCTCTCTCGCCGACACGCTATCGCGGTCCACCACCACATCCCTGGGCACAGCGTAGGAGATGATCACCAACGAGATCCCGGTTACCAGGAACGTGACTGCACTGATAAAGCCGTAGTCTATAGAATTCCCGGAGCCCTCCCCGAAGGAGAGATCATCCTCGGACATAAAAGAAAGCTCGGGGAGAGTCTCAGAGCAGGGCTCGCCGTTGCGCACGGCTCTGTGAGTACTTTTGCAACTAGACTCCGGGCTGGCCAGTCGCAGGTTGACATTCTCGTCGATATAGGTGAAAGATGTCTCTAATTCCTCGTCGCAACAAACTCGAATTTTTTCCTCACCGAGGTGACCAAGTTTAATCTCCGCGCCCGCCTTGCGCTGCGCTGTCCTTGGTGTTGAAAGACACCGGCCATGGCAGCTGCGGACCGGGTTACAGGCGCCCTCCCCCGGGATCGCTCCTCCTGTTGATCCACTCGACTTGCGGGCATGCAGCTTGGCCGAAACGCGGTCAAGGGCGTCGGAAATGTCGGGTTGTTTTCCTCCCTCCTTTGCGGGAAGCAGCTCTGGGGAAGCCATTCGTGTTTCACCACCCGCTGGTTCACTCTGAGCCTTCCTCCCACGATGTTTTCACTCCACAGCATCCCTAATAAGAACACAGACCACGTCTAAGTTTAACGGTGCTTATAAATGAGATTCCTGTCATTGTAGATAACATTCTTCTTTTTCTCACATTTCATAATTCACGAATGCGCTAAAACTTGTGCGTAAAATGAAGAATACACATATAGTTAAAATAGAGTAATGCTGACGAAAAGACCACTTTAAAGTTGATGAGATGGTTTAAGAATGGACCTTAAAAGGCGCTTATATGCCAGTGATTAGCCAAATGACTCTTAATCCAATTAGGTAAGCAAAACGTACAAATCGAGATTAAGCTATCTATTTTAATTCTGTTTTAAAATATACAGTGCTTGATCCATAAACACCTTTGTGAAACTGAGCTTTAACTAATCCCTGCAAGCAGAGAGATTCATAACCACTATCAGCCCGAGTGCATATACTCCCAGTAAAAAAGCATCAGTAGCTTTAAATAAAAGCACCACTAAAATATACCCTAATCGTCCTGCACACTTAATTTGGATTCAGCGTAAGCTATGAGATGCTCCTCTGCATAAGGGTTGGACCAGCGATGCATATTTTTTCTAATCCCTGACTAAAAAAACACACACAAAAAACCCCCTCAATCCTCCTCAAGCTGCATTAATAAACAGAAATAAACTCACCGCGTTACTTAAGCATCCCTTCCGACTTCTCTCCGTCACAGCGGATGATACCACACAACGGAGGCAGACAAAAAAAGCCTTATCGGTAGATATGCTTTGAATATATTCTGAGCTTGCTCAGTGCTTTGGCAGACCGGCTGCACTGAGGGGAGCTCTCCCCTTAGTCCCTCCCACACACACACAGCCTGCGACGCCCACGATGTGGCGCTGAAAGGAGCGCTACTATCTGTGAGTCGATTGCGATCGCTGTCCGTCAACAGAAACCAAGACTTGAAGGGCCGAGGGGAATCCTTATGAATGGCACCGAAATGCCAGTTAATAGTTGTAAAGCTCCAGCGCACTATACTTGGAAATATCGTAAATAATGTATAAGCTCAAATGCCATCAACAAATTGAAAAAAAAAGTCTCTTGGTGAAATTAGGAGTTTAGGAAAGATTCCTAATGTCTCTATGAAGGCAATGTTAAACCCCCACAGAGACAATTCATACAGAGATGCTATTGCAGTAAAGATAAGGGAATTAAATTAGTTTACAGTGGGGACTCCTCTGCTTACTGGGATAGGTCTGGGCACTGGGTCAGTACTCTGGGCTTCTTGTTGTTGTTCTGCAGAGGGGAGCTGCTGTCTTTGGAAATAGCCTTTGCTGTGATGTGTGTATAACTGTTCTGCAAACAAAGGCTGGGAGGGTCAGACTTTTCAAAGTGTTACTGTTTTGGAACAATGATTGATGTCATTCACGTCACCTGTCAGTGCTTTTAATGTTGTGGGTGACCACTAATGATTTATATAAAAACAAAAGTTTTTTCTGTTTGCTTTGCTTTGGCAATAAGGCTCTAGTGATATTTCAGCTGCTGCTCTGTCTGCTAATCATCTTTGCTTTCCAGCAGTGATGCATCCTTTGCCAGGACATCTCTTTTTAAACCACACATAGCTCAGTAGGTAGAGTGGTGGCCCCATGATCGGAAGGTCGGGGGTTCAACTCCACTGAACGGCTACCCTGAGGTACCCCTGAGCAAGGTACTGTCCCTACACACTGCTCCCTGGGCGCTGCATTGGTGGCTGCCCACTGGGTGAATGAGTTAAATGCAGAGGAACTTTTTCCCTATGGGGACTAACACATACACATTATTATTCATTCTACATCTTCCACGTACTCGTCTTGGTACCATACTCAAGGATTCATATTAATCAAATGACTCTTTGAGAGTGTCACTTTGTAAACTAAATGCTAAGTACGAACTACCAGCAACTGTTTAAGTGCCTAATCCTATTTTAAAACATATATTAATTTGCTGACTGTTCCACCTTATTTGGTGCAAGCAGACAGCAGCTATAAATATAGTTGCCACATTTTCCTTGGGTCCTGGTGGCTGGGTGAATCGCTTTGGCTCATTTCCCAACAAGACTTCCATTTAACTGATGAGTAAGGAGAGAGGGACAGGAGTGGGAGGGGGGGAAGAAAGAATGGCAGGAAGAGGCAAAGATTTACTTTACCCTTTTTGTTCCAGAAATTAGTTTTCAGAGGGATGTGAAGCACAAATCCTCCCAGGTCACTGACTGATAGATCATAATGGTTTATCATAATGGTAGTCAGAGCCAGTCCTGTGCAGAGAATCAGAGGCAGCAAGCTGAAATGTGTAACAACAGCCAACATGAGATGCTATCTGTCTGCAACAGTGCACCACTTTTCCTGCTGGCAAGGACATCACGCCTGCAAGAGGAGGGGCAGCAGGGGATTCAGTGCTCCTAAAGGGTGCATATCCATATATCCTTGTAGCCTCTTCTACCAAAGGCACAGACCCGCACACAAGAGTAAAGACTATGAAAGATGGATGTTCTTTTCCTTTAGTCAGTAGTGGATGTCATGGTTGGGACAGAGGGGGCAGCAAGAGGGACAAGAAGAGCTAGACACATGTGGGTGTGTGAATTATGAAATGAATTCATGAATGAGAAAATAACTGAGTTCACCTTACTTGCAGCTGCTCCGGGAGCTCCTGGAGTTATTTAGTGTCCAGGAGCAGCAGACTGCAAAGCAACATAGTTAACAAATGCATGAGATGTGAAATAAGCTGCTACCAGGAAAAATGCCCAGAGGGTCTTTGTACCTTCTTGCAGATTTAATCTAACAACGTTCTGCATAATGAAGTTAAAACAGACTAAAAAACAAACACGTTCCTAAAGAGAAATCATTTATTGCTGTATAATGATATAGGCTGTAGTGCAGCTTTTGTAGTTTATGCTCCAACACAGTACATGTCATCAGGAGTTGTCCAGGGCTGAGCTCGGGCATACTCTTCAAGAAATGTTCAGCCAAATGACATTCCTAATGATAATTAAATGATTAGATTCAATCAGTCTAATACACTCACCTTTACACACCACTTGATTCAATTCAATAAGATATTATTTATACAGTTCCAAATCACAACAACAACCACAAGGCGTTTTATACTGTAAGGTTATTACCATGCAATAATACAGAGAAAACAGAGAAAACCCCAGCAATCAGATGACCCCCTATGAGCAAGAACTTGGTGACAATGGAAAGGAAAAACTCTTAAAAAACTGTTGAAAGTAAGAAACGTCTGGCAGAACCAGGCTCAGTGAGGGGCAGCCATCTGCTGTGACCGGTTGGGGGTGAGGAGAAGAAGACAAGATAAAAGACACTGTGTGGAAGAGAGACAGAAAATTATATTAACTAATGATTAAATGCAGAGTGGTACATAAACACACAGGGAGTGGAAAAGGTGAGTGAAGAAGAAATAGTGCATCATAGGAAGCCCCCAGCAGTCTAAACCTATTGCTCCCTAAGGGAGGGTTCAGGGTTACCTGATCCAGCCCTAACTATAAAGCAAAGTTTTAAGCCTAATCTTAAAAACAGACAGGGTGCCCCTCTCCTAAATCCAAACATGGAGCTGGTTCCACAGAAGAGGTGCCTGAGCCGAAGGCTCTGCCTCTCATTCCACTTCTAAATATCCTAGGAACCACAAGCCTGCAGTCTGACAAAGAAGTGCTCTATTTGGGTGATATGGTACAATGAGGTCTTTAAGAAAAGATGAAGTCTGATTATTTAGGATCTTGTATGAGAGAGCTGTGAGCAAGGCCCACCACTTCAGCTGCTTTTTAATGCATATATCTTCTCAGCCAATCACGTGACAGTAAATCAGCGCATTTAGACGCTCAGACAAGATGACTTGTTGAAGTTCAAAGTAAACATCAGAATAGGAAAGAAAGCTGCCAGATGGACTGGACTAAGTATTTCAAAAACTGTTGATCTACTGGGAATTTCCCAGTACAAAACACAATATTTCAAACCTTGGAGCAGACAAGTCATAGCAGCAGAAGAACATATTGAACACAAATGGGATGACAGTGGACTGGTCTGATGTGCCTTGATTTCTGGTGATGGTAGGGTCAGAATTTGGTGTAAAGAGCACGAAAGTATGGAAACATCTTGCCTTGTATCAACAGTTTAGATTGCTGTTGATGGTGTAATGTTGTGGGAAATATTTTCTTGGCACATTTTGGGTCTCTTGGTGCCATCTAAGCATTGTTTAAATGCCAGAGCTTACCTGAGTTTTGTTACTGACCATGTTCATCTCTCTGTGATCACAGTGTGCCCATGTTCTGATTTCCAGCATTGCTTTGACTAAGGTGTACCGATAATATAGTCTCCATTAAGTGCATATAAAATATGTGAAACAAAGCAATTTGCTAGCATTAGCTTGCTAGCTTTAGCATGCTTTTAAAAAAAGTAGGCTTTCTCACAAATAATGATGGAAAGAAGATTGCCTTATAAATTACTTTTGCAGGCTGAAAAATTTTCCTGCTTTGTTTGACTTTAAATATTTTCCATAAATGTAACTTGTGTTGTGGCTGATGTTGTCTTGGAACAGTGACAGTCACAGTCGTATAAAGAAATTGTTAAAACTATAAAATGTTTAGAGATGGTTCTGATTATGGAAATATAATGTCAAGACTAACAAACTGGGTATTTTAGCTCTATCCATCTGGACAAAAACATATTATTAATTTGATGCAGCCTCATTAAATTATTTCCACTGAACTGCTCGAGTGTTACCGTGGGGCACAGCAGTTTGGCTCAACATGCAATCATTTGTGATGGGGAAGCGTTCAGCTGTTTGACAAATGTTTTACCTTTTCTGAGTAAAGTTCATTTTTATTTGTTAGCTTTATTGTATGATGGTAGTACTTCTTTACTCTTAACTGTAAGAAATAATATGAGTGCTGTATGTTGACCAGCAGTTGAGTATTTTTTGTTTTTGGTATTACTACATAATACTAAAAAAGAAAGAAAAAGCACAGTAAAGATGTAGAAACTGTGAACAGAGTAGAAGTTATGGAGTTTATGGAGGTGAGATCACAGGAGTTTGTTCCCAGAGTTCAAAACAGATTCAATGGTCGGAATCACAAGAACTGGAAAACCAAAATGCTCAGCTCTCTGCTGGGATTTAAGCGCTCCTTACTTCATGGTTTATCTTTTGTTTTACTTTTTCTGCACATGACATCCAATGGAAAGTTCAATACCACCAGGAATTTATTCTACCAGCAGAGGGGTAACTTGGGCTAGGGCTATCCCTGGTTAAGCATGAGTAGATTCATTCTTAATAGACATTAGGTTGTATCTCAGACTACTTCTTTTTCATCATCATCTTGGTCATGAAACTTTTTCCAGTGAATTTGTCAATTACTTTTGAGCTTCTGAAAATCTGAGCTAATATAATACTTTTGTTAAACCCTTTGAATTAAAGCTGAAAGTCTGCACTTCAATCACATCCTAATTGTTTCGTTTAAAATCATCTCTAATGATGCACAGAGGCAAAATAATCAAAACAAAACCAAAAAAATAAATGTGTCTCTGTCCAAATACCTATGGACGTAAATCTAGAAGAGAGGAAACTTCTCCCACTAGCTCTAGCCTTTCTGCATATGTATTTGAAGGTGTTTCTGTGTGTTTTTGTCAGATGGAGTTGTTAGCAGAACGACTGTTGGCGCAGGTGCACAGCTGTGAGCGCTGCACCAAATCTTTGGCCCCATCCTACTGCTCTTCACTGAGTCCTCACCCTGAAAAAAATTCTGGTAAGCTTTGCTACTATTTCTTATCTAACAAAACAGAGGTTAACTTGGGGAGTCGAGGATAGTTGCCCAA